CATTCTTGACGTAAGACTACCTCATTGCCAAAAAATCAAGTATTGATGAAATTATTTTTTCTGGGTGTAACACTTCTAATGTCACTGGGTATAATAATCTATCTTACTAAATATTCTCACATAGCTTACTTAGGTCATGGCAAGTTGGTTGGGTTATCGCAAAATCAAGGAGGTGCTAAAAGAAGTTTAGCCGAGGGATTAGGGTTAGACAGCTACATGTTACAAAATTCGAGATAATAGACTAACTTCGTGATCGAATTTGGTACGTAGACGCCGTTGCGAAAACATCAGTCTGTGACAACTGTTGCGCTTTTCGGTACGAAATAGATTGTATTAGAGCGTGTTGTTTTCAACATTTGGAATATTTGCTTAACATTTTTTTTTGTAATATCATTCTAAATGATTATTTTAGTACAGTGTAGATATTTCATTTTGATGTTGCTGTCAATGGGAATCAATGAAGCATATCATTATAGATATAATTTATTATCTTTATAAAGTTATCATTTTTGGAAAATAATCATTTTTTAGGAGTTCTGAATAGCTGTTTGTCTTCGTCTCCTGAGGTTAGCCTCGAGTCCGTGCTTGACTCTGGCCACCTCAATCAACAGGCTTCTTTTTGTCCACCCGTTGTACACGGGCTGTTTTTTCCCCTCTTGGGTGTACAACTATTGTCGGTCTTCTCCTTTTTTCTTTGGCCTCATCAGCTGCTAGGGCCAAATATCTTCTTGTTGCAGCTGGCTTTTCGGTCTTTTATGTCGCCTTATTGTTCTTGGGTAGTAATCCAAGGCGTCCTTAGCAAATTTCGATGTCTTTCGTTCTTTTTAAAGAACTTTTGGGCCCTGTCTCTCATCTGGATTAGGACCGGTACCTGTCGTAGTTCGTTATATAGCACTCTGTTAGGTACATACCACGGTGCTATGTTTTGTTGAGCTTGAAGCCTCTTCTTCAACGTTTTGGAAACGTAGCCCAAGCTACTGCTGCGTAAGTCATGATTTGGAGCAGCACCATCTGAATCATGATGGTCTTATTCTTTAGGGACACTTTGCTTTACTGCCTGTTAAGGATCTTAATTGTGAGCGTGCCATCTTCACTTTCTGCACCTGGCCATCGACATGGTTCTTTCAAGTGATTTTTTGGTCCATCTTGACTCCAAGGTACGTGCTGGAATCCTTCCAATCGACATCAACTTCTTCGTCTCTTCTCCACCCTTCTCCATTCTGGTGGTCGTCATCTTTATTTCGGTCTTCTCAGAGTTGAGCCGGATCTTCCCCTTGATGCACCATTCCTCTAGTTTGGTAGTCGATCTTTGCAGATATTCCGTAACTATGCGGGGCGCGTATCGCATATGCTGTATCGTCCGCATACACATACAGTTTTCGGTTGTGGAGTCTTCGGGATGTCTGAACTGTAGATTGCATACAGCAGGGGTGATAGAACCGGTCCCTGCGATACTCCTGCCTCCACAGTCCTCGTCGCTGAAGATCCAATCGTAATTCGGAATTTAACACGTTCGCGACAATGTGACCCACCGGTGGGTCACACCATTACTTGCCAAGAGCCGTGCGCGCCCACCGGTGGGTCACGGTCTAATGCATATATCATTGAACCTAAAACTATACAGTTTATTCGGGGGAATATAATACTGCAGTGACGGCTATGGAAATGGTATATCTGTCTAGATTCACCGTGGTTTTCGGAAAGGAACTGTGTAAGCACTAAAGACCCTTTTATGATTCAAAAACTTAACTGAAACATTAGATTGTTCTTTTTTCTGAAAAACACTAGAACAATGATATAAGTAAAGGAAAAAATATACTAAGTGACATATAAATCCGAACACCCAGTTTAAATGGTTTTATTTTAATAAAATTTTGTATAAGTACTTAATGAAGCATAATAAGTAAATGATAAAAATTTCAAAATGATTGCACTGCTTTAAAGCCCTTTGACCTTTAATAATGTGTGGATGCACCCTGATGTGCTACGCATTCTCCAACGCGCCTAGGCATGCTTCTGATCAGGTGGTCAATGTCCTCCTGTGGTATCTCATTCCAGGCAACCACCAACTCCTCTCGAAGTGCTTCTAGAGTCTGAGGAGGATGTTGCAAATTGAGCAATCTCCTACCCATCATATCCCACACGTGCTCAATTGGGGATAAGTCGGGAGATCTTGGTGGCCAGATAACAATGTGACATTATTATGTTGAAAGAAGTCTATTGTGACTCTTGCAACATGTGGTCGGGCATTATCTTGTTGGAAAGTTGGATCTGCCAGGGTGTCAAGATAGGGCAAAAGATGGGGTTCTAGAACTTCGTGGATATAACGCTGCGCGTTCATGTTACCTCTGATGAAGATTAAAGGTGACCTGGAACCATAAGCTATAGCACCCCAAACCATAACTCCAACAGTGTGATGAAAATGTCTTTCAACAAAAAACTGTGGATTCCTCCTTTCACCACGTCGCCTTCTAACCCTGGCACGACCATCCTGTAAGATAAATACATTCACCAACTTTTATTAAAATAAAACCATTTAAACTGGGTGTTCGGATTTATATGTCACTTAGTATACTAACGATAAAGTTTAAAATAATATTACAAAATATATTTTTTTTTTAGATGTAGGTATTAGATAACATACAGTTCAGAAAATAAAACAAATTCTAATAATCTTACAATACTATTCCAGGTGTTTTTAAAGTAAAAAAATCTAACTACTAATACAAATTACTTAGCCTATTCGTGGATTTTCTTGAAACACGGAATACATAATGTTGGCTGTCCGTTGCAGTCTTCGCAAAATGTAAGGACCTTACTTGCTTGCGCCGATGCCACTTTCCTACCTAGCTCATCTTTGAGCATCTTGTAGCAATTAGAGCATCGTTTTCTGCTTTTTCTCGCATTTCCTTCATATTTCCCTAGCCTATGGCTACTTCTGGCCCGTTTTCTCGAACTCGTATTACCGGGAACATCATGCACTACTCTTATTTCTCCAGCGGCCTCTCTAGAATCGCCATTTTCTTCTGTATCGGATAGCAATCCATCTATAAGTTTTTCTCTAAATCGTAGCATGTCAAGTTTGTTTTTAGCTTGGTTGTGAGAGCTATGTATGACCCATGCATTGACAACACATGTTCCGAGAATAATCTCAAAAATAACCTTCTTATGCCACTTCACACTTTTTCGGAGGCATCTGATCTGAAATGTCAACTCCTTTTTTGGCTTGATTGTAATCAATGATAGCGCGGGGTTTTAGTACTTCTTCACATTGTCGGTTTTTACGTCCAGTTGGAATCTGTTCATCAGTGAGATGTGGTACAGTACTTATCATTAGTACTTGCCGCTTATCTACCCATTTCAAGACACGAACCCCATCTTCGTTCTGCTCGCCGTAAATCTGTCCCTTTTTCAGCTTTTTAGCGCATACATCTTTAGGATTTCCCTTTCTATTAGTCCGTAAAGTGCCACAGACATATGTTCCTTCGGTTAAAAGGTCCTTGCATAGTTTGACACTTGTATAGAAGTTATCCATAAACAAAATTCTTTCCGAATGTTTAAGGTCTTGCATTAAGTCCATGCATACATTATAAGTATGTCCCTGCGTGTTCGTTGCTACAGTGGCATCATTTTTTCCTGCATAAATACGCAAATCGTAAGTATAACCTTCAGTCGTGCATATTTTGTACAGTTTCACTCCGCATTTGTGTGTTTTGGCTGGTAAGTATTGACGGAACACCAACCTGCCTCTTTTTCTGACCAGGAACAAGTGTCTCCTTCAACTGTTGACAAATGAGGTTTACAACATTTTTTATTTTCGAGAGTCTGTTTTGGCCAGCTAGTGGATCATTGTTATCAGAAAAATGCAAGCATTTCAATAACTGGTCAAATCTGTTGCGATTCATATTTTTTTTTATTCGCTCATTAGCGTATTAGCGTACATTTTATCATTTGACCAATATAGACGCATTTTTGGTAGCTGATTGATCCCCATTATTAGCAAGATAGCTAGAAATTTTTTCATTTCTGCTGTGTTAATATCTGTCCAAGTTTTCAACAGAGATCGTGGTCGCAGTGGCTTCGATTGAATGATCTGATGTGCGTATCTGTTAGTTTCCTCCACTACGATGTCAATGATTGGATCAGTAATAAACTGTTTGTAGATAGCGTAAGGTTGAGATACATCTAAATTGTTAACTTTCAAACCCGTTTGTTCGCAGAACTGAAAATTTAGAGGTAAGTTTGTAAATGGTCCCCATTTGGCAGGATTTACTGTTGCTTTTACGTCTGTATCGCTTGCCGAACTGTTGTCACTAGAGTAATCGTCAGAACTGTTATCATCAGAAAGAGCATTTTTCATCACATCCTGCTCATCTGAGGGCCTATAGGACTCTTCAGAATCCTCAAATGGGTCGGATTCTGAGGATGATAGATGTTCAAATCTTCCTTGTAGTCCAGAAGTAGACGGATGTGGATTGTCCGGAGATGCTGTGGGATATGGAACTCATTCTCACAGGTCTGCTACTCTGATCTGCTAGTCAAGAATTATCTGAAACAAAACAATCTTATGTATTTGCCGCATACTTACCTATATTTCCGTGACCCACCCGTGGGTCACAACGACTGTGAGGCAAAATTTTAACTCAGGGACGTTGTGACCCACCGGTGGGTCATACACAAAAACTCTCAAAACTTAAAAAAACACAATACGTAGATATTGGAAAAGCATTTAATTACATTAAAATAAACAAATATTACGGAAAATAAACAAAAAAATATTACACTTCTTTGCATGGATACATAAAACTAACCTCGTCGCGAACGTGTTATGCCTGTCGCCCAAATTGAGTTCCCTTTTTATTCTCTGGATGTGTCGCCACAGATCTATATCCAGCGAGATCTGCCGAGCAAGGACACAACTTCTTTTTAAAATAGTTACGGGAATACAGCTTTCTCATTAGAGTTTATTTAGTTAAACAGTAGTTACTGTTGCCTCTGGTAGATGTCGCCATCAAAACGTTTGTGGCGCTCTCTAGGACACAGTAGCGTAACTACTTTTAAAAATGTTGCATCTTTGTAGTTTTCTTTCAGGAATTTTCGCTTCCCAAAAAGGATGACAACCAAACATTGATAACTGTCATCGAAATAGTTGTCAAACAAGCGTAAACATTAAAACAAAAATCCAAGCTATGGATATTTATACAAATATAAAATTTATATGCCACTTAATTTAAGTGAAAAAGTGATATAGATGCTTTAGAAAGTAAGCTTTACATCATGGCATCGTCACAGGACGCTTGGTACCTTTCGCTTTTGGGTTTAGCGGAATATTTCCGTACTTCTAGTCCACCCATGATAAAAATGTGTATACAGTGTTTACAGGCAGTTTTTAATTTTAAGCCACCTCAAAGGGTGGAAGCCAGGACACATCTGCAATTGGGAAACATACTTTTGAGTCATACAAAGAATATTGAACTGGCTAAGAGCCATTTAGAACAAGCGGTGAGTGGCTTCTTCAATGTGGGCTTTCTCCTTATTTTGGCTTATTTATAACAATTTGTTAGAATATATTCCAATTATCTGAACACATTTGCGGACTTCTGTTGAATTGTTGTTAAATTTCCCGTGTGAGTTATGGCTGACATTCGAATTTTGCCCTACCTACTGTTTTTTGACCTACTTTTTCATAATCTTTCTGCTTTAGTTTTTGGGTTTTCCCAAAGTTGGGACAAATTCGATCTTATGTGCTCTACCTATGAAAGAGGGAGAGAGCACGTTTGAGACCTATTTTGAGAGGATGTCTTGTTATAATAGATTTTGTATTTGCTTTCATTAATAACAATGGGAGTGATCAATTCAGAACAGTATATCAAAGTATTTGTGTGCATTATGATTCTGATTCTTCTACTGCATGAAATATTCTTGCCTTGTCCAATGTAGAGAAGCTGTAGCTTGAAAAAGATTGACTTAATTTCTTATATTTTTTTTCTAGTGGCTGTTATCACAAGTGATAAACTCATTTGATGACGTTAAATTTGAGGCAGCAAGTGTTTTAGCAGAATTGTATGAGCAACAAGAACAAATTGCATTGTCTAAGCCTATTTTAAGGAAAGCCATTGAATTGTCACAACATAATGTTTATTGGCATTGTAGACTGATATTTCAGTTAGCAGTAAGTCAAAATATGTTATATAAGAACATTTAAAGTCAACAATGATTTTACTCATTCAATTCATGGTTTAAATCTTGACACATCTTAGATTCAGCTGATTTGAAATGCTTAACTTTTGCTTGTAACTTTAATTCCATCCTATACATTATGCTCTCCTAAGGTAATAGTTTTAAGTTTTAATGAAAAATTATTTTTTAGATGATTTTATCTTTTTATGCTAAACTGCTTTTTGTTTTAGCAAATTCATGCAACAGAAAAAGACTATACATTAGCAAGTAGTCTTCTAGGTGTGGGTGTAGATTATGCCCATATTTCAAATGCATATTATACAAGAGTATTATTTTTATTAAGTAAAGGCATGGTAAGTGCTGCATCTTCACTATTTCTCAACATATTTTTTCTCAATTTAATTTATTTTAGCTTTTATTAATAGATAAAAAACTGCAAGAGATTCAACCAGTACTCAATCAAGCTGGACATTTAATTGACACCTGGACCGGTGCTGTATATCAGAAAGAGTACCTTAAAGTGTACTACTTAGTTTTACAAGTAAGTTATTCACCAATAGAATAGTTTAAATTATGAAAAGTTCATTTTTGCACCTTTCTTACACAGCAATAGTGAACAAATTATGTAGTATATTATGTATTTGTAGGTATGTCATTATTTGATGGCAGGTCAAGTAAAAAGTGTGAAACCTTGTTTAAAGCAGCTACAGCAGAGTATTCAGACAATTATGGCTACTGATGATGGTAAGAAATTCTTTATGAGATTTAGAAAGCAACATTGCTCAAGAATGCATGGAATACTACCAAATTAACTCTCTACATGTGACATTAGGCATTATGTGTAACTACATACTAAGACTGGTGTTAATTTATTTTTGTTGAATTCTATGCTCTAGTCCATATTGTGTTGAAAATGTAATGCTACTAGGCTACTACTACTGACTGATTTGTTTGTAATATTTTTCCAAGATCTCAGGGATGTTGAAGCTAGTAATTTTTTTTAGTGTTTATGGGACCCAGTGCAGGAGACATGTTTCTGTGGATGCCAAAGGAACACTTATATGTACTTGTATATTTGGTGACTGTAATGCATAGTATGCAAGCAGGGTATATGGAAAAGGCACAGAAGTACACAGATAAGGCACTTATGCAAATTGAAAAATTAAAAAGTTAGTGACATTTGAATGCTTCTAGGATTCCATTGTCTGGCCAGATCAAATCACATATGTTTAAATTTCTGTTTATTGAATGAAATTCCGACAATGGAGTCCTATAAACATGAAAGCCATATGATAAGTTTTAGAAGTTACATTGAATGCTTCTGTTGGAAAATAACGTGAATTCAAAGATTTCGGAAAACAATTTAAAAGAAGGTGCAGTAATCTTGAGAGGTTCTCCAATAATCTCAATATTTTCATGTTTCTATAATGGTGTTTTATCAAATCATCGTTTTTCTTTTTTGATTAATCTTGCTTATGAGATGTTAAGATACAACCTCTACTTGTCTCGATTTTTTCATCACAGCTGGAAACAGTAAGTTTCCTTATTTGTAGTGAGGAATGCGAAATTTTCTGATATTGTCGGTTTTGGCGTTCTTTAAGGCCACAAAGTAAAAAAGACATTCTCTTAAATCGTACAGACATGTTATAGGAGCGCTAAAACCGTCGCGGTTTCAACATTGCTTCAACATCAGTTTATCAGGTAATAGTACATACCTACCTATCATTCAACAATTCTTAATTGGGGTATGTAAATATTTATTTTCACTATTAACACTATGTGCCACTTTTTTACCCTAACTTCAACGTAAATCATTACGTGTCCCACTCATTTCACAAATATTCTGAAATATCAACTAGCCTGGTGTCAGATGGAGAAGCTCAAAGAAACAGATTTGGGAGGTTTGGACCAGTGATCAGTCTACCATTTTCAAGAGGAGTAATAATGTCTAGTTGCCAAACCAGCATAATGGATCTAGCAGGATACACTTTAATGGCATTATTATTTATCTAAGTATTATTTTTTATCATTACTTCCATCTCAAGAGTTTTTCGCGCATTAGACGAGCGTAAATTGCTAGGTATCCCCCACTTCCCCCTGGAAAGTTTTGCCAATATTTAAAACATGATAAAATCAAATTATAGTATGCTGTTTATTGTTGTACAATATTACAAACTATGAACAATTGCAGAGGGAACTTACAACCAAATTTACATACATTTCGATACCAGTAAAGTCAACGTGCTAGGTATGATCTTTTTCTCGAAAATATTTGTCCTACCTTTTGCATACCTTGCTGTAATGAGTAAACGGGCGCTCCTCGTTAGTCGAGCGTTGAGCGAGCTGTAAATGTCCACATTCACTGTCATTCCAGCGGCTTCGTGTCACGTTACTCCACTTTTTCAGGCGTTCCATTTATGTACTATGCGCACTCGCACCAAAAAGATCAACATTCCGCATTTTGGAATGATTAAGTATTTAGTCAGACAGTACATTGTTCCAAACAATTCAAATATTTTTATTTCTGAACAGTTTTTGGATAGCGCTGCGTTAAAACGCTTAATGCGATCGCCATTTTTTTGAACCACAATGTGATCGTACTCGTTGTCCAAACGTCACATGATAGTGATATCTCTAACAGTTTATCGACAACGCCGCGTATTTAGCGTCCGCATAACATAAAATTGACATTGACATGTTTGCTTTCCGTCTCTGTAACCAAGTCCAACCACAGACGGCGTGCTCATGAGCAACTCATTAGTGTGGTATTGGGGCCGTTCAAGTATTACGTAAGCAGATTTATTACAATTATTTACCCCTCCATCCCCCTTGTCAGCAAAAGTAAGCAAAGCTCTTACCCCCTCCCCCCATGCTTACGTAAACATTCGTCAATTAATGTACTGTTTTTTAATATAATAATTATATCGCTATAATTATAATTTGAAAAATAAGAAAATAGATTTAGGATAGAGATTATATTTTACTGATACAGTATTCAACATAGAGTAAAGGACAAAATATTATATCTTACTAACATAACAAACTTATTTTAAATTTTAGTCTTCAGTCCATGAAACCCGAATCCATGATCCTAAGTTTTCGATGACATTGGATTGCTTCGATTGCTGCTCAGTGTTGTGAGTTTGCTCGCTTTCATCGGATTTTGGAATGTTTACATCGTTCTCATCGAGCCATTCAACATCATGGTGCTCTAAATTTTGAATAATGCACATCAGTTCATTAGCACGACGAGCAGCGACTCTTACAGGTCTAACTTTCCTATCACTGTGCGTGTTTACTTTTTTATGGATATTTTCGATGTGACGATTTAGTGACTTGACGGAAGCATGATAAAGACCACACGTTTTGCATGTTCGACTTGATAGCCTCAATTTTACCGTCGGACAAAAATAATCGTAGGGCATTTGCAGGAAATCTTTAAGTGAAGCACTTAAGCGTAGAGCTAAATTGACTGGAAGATTAAGAAATTGCCCTCCTTCATCCAAAACCAAGTCATCAACTGTTTGTTTTACTTTTATAGGTGGTGGAGGAAACCTATTGTCTAGTAATCTAAATAGGCCACTTCTTGGACGACAGCATTCTGTATTTCTACATTTTACAATTTGAAGCAAGTATTGGCTCTCACGCACATGTTCTGAATACCATTTAATGTCTGGAAAATCAGGAAGATCTTGTTCACCTGCCCCAACAGATTTTGCATTAACATTATAGCCATCAATTTCCATTGAACTCCATACTTCAGCTAATACATTTCCTGCAAATTCGAAATTAGATCTTTCTCAATTGTAACGCCACGTTCATCCAAATGAGACCCAAAATGGTCATGAGGCAATATTAAACCAGTCAGTTCCCGACTAGAGGAGCCATTCTGCGCTCTACTCTGTTATACTCACTTCTTCCAGGAGCATTGGTAGCTAAAAACAATGCATCGAGATCATGTCATTTAAAGTGTTGTATAGCAAACCCTATGACTGTTTGATAACGTGGATTTTCATCTGGCCCTCCATCAACCATCATGATTACCTCTAGTTTTACTAGTCCATGGTCAGTTTTAGCTAATGGTCGAAACTCTTCAAGTTCGAGAAGCGTCTCGAAATCCTGAGCATGAGTATTAGCAGTAGATGAACTATGCTTTCCACTTCGAGTAGCGATGTATGTTGGTCCAGAATATACAACGACTTGCGGTTGTCCTAACATATTGGAAGTGATTTCGATACGAGCATAAACACATGGTATTAATTTATGACGCTCAGCGATTACCCAATCGTGATCAGGCAATGTGATTCTATATTCCATGTTCATTAGAAGAGCTGCTTGCTTATTTGCCCCAGTTACGCCAATAGGGACTCGAGCTTTATCATCTTGAGATATGAAAAATACTTGATCTGGTCCATGTATGGATGCTATGTTCTCTAAATAATGGATTGATGTTTCAGCGAACTTGCTGTCTAAGTGGCTCTTGTGGTGATCAGTTTGAGCCCGAATGAGCTTAACAGGGACTGTCGATACATGTCTTCGTCCCTCTGCAGAATTAGATTTTCTGGGAATCAAACGAAGATATGTCCCACTGCGACTAATGTCAAATCCTATTTTACGTAATTCTTGTGTGAGTTCATCAAGAGTTTTTAGGCTGCGAATTGATTCCGTTCGTCTTCTATGATCTGCTGCACTCTCAAATAAAGCTATATTCGCAATTGTTTTCAATAGTGAATGTTGATTGCTTTCAAGATTAGGACGTCCCTCTGAATCCCTCAGAGATAGTCTTTTTTTATTTCTGGATTTTCATGACAAATATCGTTTAACTTTCTTTTCATACCATCCCTGTGTTTCTTCTGGGTAACTGCGTTTTGAACCTTCCTGTTTAAAGACTGTTTTGCTGTTTTTATTTCCTCGCGCAACTTAATGATCTGTTTATCAACTTCAACACAGCTTGGCATAGTATCTCGGGCAGAATACAAAGCATTCATATTTTTTTCGAGGAGAGCAATCTTATTTTTCATAGCTTCCTGAGAAGGTTTTGCTCTCTGTTTATCTGTATTTTCATTAATTTCGCATTGCTGTTGTGATTCATTACCGAGTTTTATTTTATCTTCTTCCTCTTTTTTATATATGTAATTTGTGTTTTTTCTGCAGGTTTACAGGTTGCCTAAAAATAAAAACTTTCTATGACTTCTGCAAAAGATTCTCTTATTAAGCTACATACATGCAAAGTATGGCAATATATATGGTAAATACAAAACCCTATGGCTTTAAATCTAATATGTTTAAACGAGCAATTCGTTCCAATCACAAAATACAGGGTGTTAGTTTTCTGTATATATGTATAAAACTAACATCCTGTACTTTGTGACCAATTGACGGAATCAATCATAAGAAATAAATCTATAATATAATGAATATTACCTCTATACTTTGAGATAGGACATATTTTCTAATCAGTAAAGAGAACCTTTTTGGCGATTTCTAATATTTTTAGTACCTAAAATGATTTCGTCACTCACCTTAGAAAAAAAAATTAGTAGATTGAATTTATTCTTAGTTGCCGTTTGTAATTCTTCTTCGATTCTCTTAGATACAATAATATCTAGTTCCTTGTCGGATTTTGCTTGTAATTTGTAATTTCGCCACACTTCGTTAACTAACTTTTGTACATTTTGTACTTTTGTACTTGTATGAGATTTTTTAAAACTTTCAAACTATTTTTGGTATAACTTGGATTTGTCTATGTGAAACGACATCTTATTTAAACATTAAACTTTGGCTAATGGTATCAATGGTAACATAAATGTTAACTTGCTTTACTATGCTTACAATACGTCTACTCGCTATAGTATCCAAGCGAAACAATACACTGATAGAGGAAATTTATACAAGTCAACACCGCGCGGTCATTCCCCTACTCGATTCTAAAGCGAGTAGAGGAATTACCGCGCGCTGTTCACTAAACGTATGCATTATTTGCGGGAATCCCCGAAAATGCGTTTCGTTTTCAAGCAAAGACAATGTGAGGGTTGCCATTCGTGTAAAAAAGTAAATAACTACCGATGACGTAATCATCATCTAGACTCCCCTACCCCCCATGTCATCCAAAATGAGCAAAGCAAAGACCCCCCTGCCCCCCCCATAGTGCTCACGTAATACTTGAACGGCCCCATAGGTCTTAGATCTAATCTTCGGGACATACAAACGTGAAGCAAATGAGTGACTATTCTCTTTTAAAAAACTCAAAACATTGTGAGTAAGTAGGTGGAAAATCTAAGGATCGCCACCTACCAATAGTTTGTCAAACTGATTTTAATCCTCATCCCATATGATGAAGACGACAGAGTGATAGTTACGTCCTCTGGCTCATAGCCACTCGATGTTCTCCGCTATGAACAAAGATGTCTCACCGCACCACTATCATGGTATGGTGTACTGAGAAGTTCTCAGAATATTCAGTGTTCACAAAGCACATGTTGCTTTGCCTCTCTATAATCATGACCAACCACAGCTCTAAACAGCGCTGTGTGAACGTCGAGCGGTTATGAGCCAGAATGCGTAAGGGTCTATCTGTCGTTCTCATCATATGGTATGAGGTTGAAAATCAGTTTGGCGAACCATTGATACTTGCGCACAATCCATTTTTCTAGCTGGAGCCTAATTTTACTATGTTTGCAGTTGTGGACAACAAGCCAATCCTCTCCGTATTTCAACTGATGTTGCTAGAACACATAGTGATGTGCCGTCTGGTGATGGGTAACAAAACGCAAGCGCTCCAGGAGATCTCGACAGCCGCGCAGCTATGCCGGCAGTCACCGAAGCTGCTGAAGACACACGGACCTCAACTTCACACGTTACTGGGACTTTATGCGATGAGCATGAATTGTATGGAGGCTGCTGAGGCGCAGTTCGTTGCTTCACTTAATGTAAGTTGAAGTTTATTTCTTTAGCAAGCTTTAGTAGCACCTATACGATTAGTTTTAGTATCGTATTCCTTATTGAAATCGTATAAAAATTGAATACCTGAATTTGTGTTACACGACAGAGAACCCTATCATGGGCGACATTCTTGATTTTTTTTATAGTAATGTGCTATTTGGCTTGAACAGTCTGCAAAATGCCATTTTTCTTTTCATAACTGGCCCAAGTCACATTTTATACAACATGTTTTTTTTGCTTTAAACGTCTCCTTATAAGTCAATAAACTCATTTCCTTTCAAATAATGCCACGTAATATACGTTTATTGTAAAAAACTCGACTCAAGTGACTGCGGGTATTTGAATGGGTGATTTCGAAAACATTACCAGGATCCTTGATTTGTTTTTTATATCTATGTGCGATATGCATCAAAACACCAATTTTAAATTCGCTGTGACAGTTTTCTTATTTCCTGCTAAAACCATTGACTCATTCTCCCTCATTTGTATGACTGAGAAAGTCCTTAGTTATGTTGCTGTCATTTAACACTTTATTAATTGATATAATAATTGCATTGTATTGTGTGTGACTCACCCCGACCTGTACATCCTTTCGAAGGTGATAGTGCAGATCAAATCGCTAATCGCATAGCAAGCTTAGAATAAATTAGGAAGTAGAGAAATAAGACAAACAAACGAAACTATAGAAAATATAATAATGACGAGCCCCAGTAGAAATAGTGCCCTCCAGTTCGACATAAAATTATTCCAAATTATCCCAGAGTTTGATGGGAATCCCTGTAGACTATAGATATTTAGAAATAAGCACAGATTTATTAAATAACTATTGGAACACTGACAATAATCCAAAATAAAATTCTGCTGCATGGCATTTTCTCGAAATTGACTGGTGCTGCAGAGCAGGTATTTTCTCTTAGCGGTTCCACAGACTGGAACAGCATCAAAAATTTGCTAATTGCTTATTTTGGTGATCAAAGAAACGAGAGTAGTCTCTCAGATATGACTGCCCTTAGACAAAATTCTAATGAAAGCTCTTTACAGTTTTATTCTAGAGTTGTAACCATGCTCAATCATTTACATAACTATATAAATATTCATGAAACAGTTGAAGCTATTAAAACTAGTAAAAAGGCACTGTATGATAGTCACGCATTGCATACACTTTTAGTAGGTTTAAAGGAGCCACAAAGTTTCATGATTCGGTCGATGAAACCTAAAAATTTGGCAGAACCTCAAGCTTATATTTTAGAAGATAATAACATTAGATATTTACAAAAGGCTGGTGCACATTCAAATTTCAATAAGCCACCTCAGCCTGCCCTTCCATCCAAACTACATTTTCAAAATTTGTTTAAACCTGAAATGCAGCCTACGAATCAATTTAGGCTTCATCAAAATTTCCCTCAATTCCCAAGAGGACCAGTTCCGCTTCAATCTAGACAAAATCCCTTCCACAAAGATGTCCAACAAACGCACAAGTTTTTGGCAATAGAACCAATGTTAATGTTTGGCGTAATCCGCCTAATCAAGGACCTTCCTACAGGCCTACTCCTATGAGTGGTGTTAGTAGTATCAATAGAAATAAGAATTTCCAAAATAATTATTTTAGGCCTTCTGGCCCAAGGAACTTTGCTTCTCAAGAATTACATAACGTTGAGAGTGATCCTTATGATCAAAATTTTGGAAACAACCCTTACGATGACTATTACTCGGAATATTGACAGGATGGTGAAAATCAGTATGACTGTTCTGATCTATATTACGAAAACCCCGATGAGACACAAAATGATGTTTCTGAAACTGGTCAAAAGCCTGATGAAGAAAAACAAAATTTTCAGATGGCCATGCCCATGATAGGGGAGACATAATATACTTAAACACGATTTATGACAAAACAGAGTTACCTTATATTGAAATTAAAAATCCGCCCTTAAAACGTCTTATTGATACTGGTGCAACGAAATAATTTTTAAATCCTGATCTTACACAATTGCATTTTCCAAAATGTTTTTATAAAGAACCGTTCGAAGTAACTTCAGTTTTTCAGTATTCGAAGAGAGACTATTGTGCTAAAATTCCTGCCTTCTCAGAATTCAATGTTAGTGAGCCTATAAAATTTCATTTGTTCAAATTTCACAAGTATTTTGATGGTCTGGTTGGTCTAGATATTTTTAAACTTTTAAATTCACATATTGACCTTAGAAATTCTATTTTGTATACCAAAAACCCCAAATTCCAATCAAATTTCATGATTTGAAAAATAGTTTGTTATTTTTCCTAGAAATTGAGCCCTACACGGCGGCCCAAGAAAAAATTCCAGTCGATACTTATAATGGAGAAATTTTGATTCGAAATTCCAAAATTAGAAATTGTTTAATCAAGGAAACGCCTACTCATGCTGTAAACTGTTATGCCCTGGTTGACCTAGAAAATCCTAGTAACACTTATCAAGAAATATCTTTCTATGAGCCTATTGTTTCATTTCCGTTCGACGAAAATAATTTCGCTTTATTCCACGCTATCATTAAACCATCTGAATCAGTTTCGCCGTTGCGGCATGATATCAGTAAATTGATGCGAACATGTCATCTCAATAATGTAGAAAAAACTCATATTCTAAAATTGTGTCAAACCTACTCCGACATATTCTATTACGAGGGTGATGTGTTAACTTTCACAAACCGAATTAAGCATCATATTAGGACCACAGAAGAAATTCCTGTTTATACAAAATCGTATCGTTATCCACACATGCTCAAAAACGAAATGCAAAGGTAAATTAGATCCCTTCTAGATCAAAATATTATTCGACATAGTAGTTCAGCTTGGAATTCTCCAGTTTTTATCATTCCCAAAAAACCTCATGCTAGTTGTAAAAAGAAATGGTGTATGGTGGTTGACTATCGAAAGGTTAACGAAAAGACCATAGATGATCACTACCCCATTCCATGTATTTCTGACATTTTAGACAACTATAAGCATTATCATCTTTATTCCGTTCCTACTGTTAACCAAACTACCATTATTCCCAAAAAATCCTATTTCACAATGAGTACCAAAATGTACCAATATGATGCTGAACAATGTCAAATGATAGAAGATATGTTTATCTGCCACGAAACCAAATTGGTCCATGTAGCAGAAGAAGAAGACGATTGTCTATTTGCTATTTTACAAGTAAACAAAAAGCAGCCAAATTGTAACAAAATTCCCGTAACTCTTAAAATGGCCTTAATTGAAGAAGTTTCCGAGTCCAAATACATGGCTATCTTCCTGAAACAGTGAAGCACCCCTACAAATGGAGTTTTTCCCTGTATGCAATTATGTTAATTGGAATTGCATGCATATTCGTGAAAAAGTATTACCAGAGAAGAAAAGGATCAAGAAGAATCCAGCATTTAGAAGAAACCGAAATTCATCCCCAAAGGCACGAAGTTTTGTTTGTACCTTCCAAAACTTCATCTTAAGGGTGGAGGAGTTATGTTGCTGTCATTTTACACTTTATTAATTGATATAATAATTGCATTGTATTCCTTTTTACTAGCTCATCACTTTTGGTTTATATTAACGATTTTATCTTAATTATGAGTCAGTCATTCAATCTCAGTCACAGCGAACACACTCTAATTCCGGTTCGGTCCATGTACACTATTGTTGGAACCAAATAAAGTTTTTAAAAACGAAGTTTGAAGTTTCGACTACATAATTCCTTTAAATCTTCGCTAAATATTCTGAAAAGCAGTTCCTATAGATAGTGCAAAAATGGAATTCACCGCAAAACTCTTATCTTGCACAAACAATTTTTTTTGATTAAATACATTTTGCTATCATATAAGCACGTGGGCTCTACCTACAACCGACTGACGATTATTGAAAAAGGTTGAACGACAGGGTTTGTAAAAACCCAGTTTTTTTTGGAAGCAAAACAAAAATACATTTTTTTTGCAAACCACGTTTTTCTCACCTAAACCAGATTTATTTGGTAATAGTTGATTGAACTAAACAAACATTTAATTTTGATTGATAAAATTTGCAGTACTCGACTCGATGAGTCATCACCGATGACTACTCATACCAAGAGCGCCAAAGGCAGGTATATAGTGTGTCAAATGTAGGCTTAAAAATATAAAAACTATAGCGTATTTATACAAAATTACGAGAATTCATTTAGCTGTGTTACTATGTGGTACCACTGGATCTGTTTATACATAAGGATCCCACAATTTTTTGGAAGGCACTGTAATTTTTGCCATCTGAATAGAATCTAAAACAGTAAACACCATGTTCATTAGCGGAGTTGAATCTGTTTGCCTTCCGTTTCTGTAACCACGATTAACCGCATACAACGCTATTTCATGCTTATTAGGAATCATTAGTCTGGTATAGGTATAGTCCTTGAAGGCATACAAATGGAAAGTAGACAAGCAGGTGTGCTGTTCATATACCAAATTTGTTTTACATCAAATTAGGAAAGACGAACGAGAGACTAGTTATATTGAAATAACTGTTAAAAGTAAAAATATATTCTAGCTTAACCAAGAAGCGTTCTTGCAGATCAAGATCAAAGTAAGTTTCAAGTTCAGTGTCACGAGCTTCAATTCCCTGAATACGGCCGAGGTGCAGTTTCACTAGATGTAAGCTGGTATTTAGTTCACTTATAACCAAAAAAATAAATGAAACACGGTAAGATCTCCCTAGCTGTGGGATACTCATACTTGATCCCCAACCATCTATCAAATACAAAGGCATGTTTGCCCGACGTTGAAATACAAGAGCAAAATTGTTCTGTTTTCTGTAAATCCATCATAAAATCAGAATCACTATTACATTGGCCTTGAACGGTACTACTCAAAGTTAGAATCCAGGTCAGATGCAAGATTGCCATGTTGATCTTCATTCTCATAACAACTTTTCTCAAAATAACGAAGATTAGGATGTTTTGTGTGCAGAATGTGGCTAATATCCATTGATTAACGTATTCTACATGAAGATAGCCAACCTAATACCATGTTTGCGTGTCCGAAAAAATATCCTACTTTTAAAATCTTAGTGCCTCATAGATGGCTTTGTAGCTTACTGTATATGAGCATTTAGCTGAAGCACAATCTACGACCTACTAACCTTATCAAAGTAGACTTCTAATTATTACGGTATGTTATCTTAACTTGGGTATTGTAATTCATCTCGAACGGGTACGCGCTAATATAGTATTAGGTTGGCTAGGCCGAATACGTAAATTAATCCTAATATTTTTCTAGACATCACAAGAACGAGAGCTTTGGACCTTTGCAAACCTGAACTTGGCTATCGTCTACCTTAGAGGACAACGAGAAGCTGATTTTGTGGCCCTACATGATAGAATCAACCCAGAGAGTCTTCCATCGCATTCCCATAGCCTCAGGGCTGCCGCGTATTATGTCCAAGGTCTACAGGCTTTCTTCCAGGGAAGATATAATGAAGCCAAGTAAGTTTGTACATGTTTATATTCAATACTTTAAGTCTACATTGTCAAAAATACATAAATCGTTCTCACAAACTTAGCCTAATTAGAATTTGTTGCTGTTATTGTCACTACAAGTTATTTAATTTTTTTGTTGATAGTGGTCTTATCAGTCGTGTCCTTCTCAATATTCTTTTTTAACTGGCATGCAAAGTACCTTGAGAGTACCACAAAGTACCAAGTTTAATAAATAAACTACTTTTTTAGACGGTATCTTCGAGAAACCTTGAAAATGGCAAACGCCGAAGACCTGAATCGACTCACCTCATGTTCCTTAGTACTTCTAGGACACATATTTCTGTCGCTAGGTAATAGTAGGGAGAGTATGAATATGGTGACGCCAGCAATGCAACTCGCCAGCAAAATTCCAGATGTTCATGTGCAGTTATGGGCTTCTGCTATATTGAAAGGTGAGAGACATTTTGCATGGTATCTCGATTGTTGTATTCGTTTTGCGAAAGTGACAAACTCTTAAAAATCTGTATTGTGGGTGTACTAGCATGGTCAAAAGCGGCAGACAACTCTCAGAGGAATTTCCAGTAATCATAGGACTACGACAAAGGTGCTCACTTGCGCCGACATTTTTTAAGATATATATTGAACCAGTTTTAGTAAACTGGAAGAGGAAATGTTGCTATATGGGAATAGCAGTGGAACAAAATGTCCTATATACGCTTTTATTCGCTGACGACCAGGTTTTGATAACAGGTGATAGAGATGAACCGTGTTATATGTATAGGAAACTGGAAGAAAAGTACGTGAAATGGGGATTTTAATTTAAAAAACCGATTATATGATTGTAGGTGACCGCGATAGAGTTGATTTGAATGTTGGAAACTATAGCATACAGAACACATGATTCAAATATCTGGGTCCAACGTTTAGGGTGAATGGCACGAGCAACCAAGACATTTCCAATAAAGTAGCACAGGGTAAAAGAGCATCTGTACAACAAAATTCTATTCTACGGAGCACTAGAGCGACAAAAAAACAGGAAATTGATATTCAAAGCTATAGTAGAAAGTATTTGTACCTATGACTCAGAAATATGAGAGATGACGAAAAGAAATAAAGAGAGGTTCATGTCCCTGGAAACGGATTACTGGAGAAGAAGTTGCCGAATTTCCAGACTGGAACATGTTAGGAACGAAAGAATTAGACAAATTATGGAAGTAGACCACAACATCTTAGAAACGATTGAAACAAAAATATTACTTTGGTATGGTCACCTTCAACGTATGGATAACCAAGATGGCCAAAAAAAGTTTATGAGTGGGTACCACCAGAGCGTCGCAAACGTGGTAGTGGAAGCAAGATGTTGAAGAGTCCTTGACATCTAGATGACTCCAAGAGGGAGACTGGATGGAGCGAAATATGTGGCGTTTGAGAAGCGGGAAACGACTGTAGTCGAAAAAAAACCCATATATATATATATATATATATATATATATATAAAACTAAATACAGTCATTCGCTGTCGCGATAAATGGTCTAACATCATGTCAGTCCATTTTTGAAGTGCTCTATTCCAACAGAATCATGCACATCGGTTCCAAATATTCGTCTTACATTCTGTGCCACTTAATTAAAAGAGCGTAAGTGAATTTTTTACTTCCCACGACACTGGCAAGAAAGTATTGTAATCGCAAAAAAATTCAAAAATGAGATCGTATGTGTGTTTTTGATGTTACGAGGGCGGTCGATAAGAGTACTTAGCCTACAACAGAAACAATTTTTTCGATTTATTTCTCAACATAGTCTGTTCTTAGCTCGAAACTCTTAACCCAGCGATGATCCGTCTTCTTAAACCCGCCTGGAAAATACGTTTTCTGGGGGTCTTTAACGTAGGCCTCAGTGGCGGTGATAACACCTCCACATTCGACTCAAATTTCTGCCGGGCGAGTAACTTTTTCAAGTTTGGAAACAAGAAGAAGTCGCAGGGGCCAAATCTGGAGAATAGGGTGAATGGGTTAGCAATTCGAAGCCTAATTCGACCAATTTGGCCGTGGCGACGGCGTACATGTGAATCGTTGCGCCGTCATGGAGGAAGGGCACTTTTTTCTTCCCAAATGGGGCCGTTTTTTCTGCAATTCGGCGTCGAATCGGCCTAGTAATTCGGCATAGTCGAGCCCTATGACTGTTTTCTCTTTCTCCAGGTAGTCGATGTAGAACTTACCTTGTGAATCCCAGAAAACGGTGGTCATCACCTGTCCGGTCTACAGGACAGTCTTCGCGTTCTTCGGAGCACGTTTGCCAGGTCAAGTCCACTGTTTCAACTGTTCTTTGGTCTCTGGTGTATACCAGTAGATCCGTGTTTCGTCGACGGTCACGAAACGACGGAGGTCTGTCAATACAAATTCGTGGATTTTTGTCACGTTCTCCTCCTTGGTAGCGGTTTTCGGGGCTCGTCAAAAGCTGACGTGCGACCACGTTGAAACTCGTTAAACCACACCGTACACAGCATCCAACGCTCTTTGATTTCGCTGTGCGATTTCCCTTGCAAAAACAAGAACCGAATCGCCGACCGATATTGCTTTTTACCATTTTACTGAAATTCGGGCGATCAAAACAAAGTAGCTGTCTACGAAAACGTACACAATAGGAAATTGGTCTTGCGATAGTGGCGCCATTGGGCGGTGAGGCTAAGTAATTATCGGACCGCCCTCGTATATGACGTGAACAGGACGTTCCGCTAACTATTTTTGTAAGACCATTTAGAAAAAAAACTTTTACACAAAATTGTAGGGTCTAATACAAAGTTTTACGTGCAATATCTTTTTTATATTGTCAGAAAATTGCTATCGAATAAAGTTGTATTATTTCAAATTTAGTAAAAATGACGGTCGCTTTTTTCTCATCCCGAATACATATGGTCTATCATCAGTTTGGTGAAAAACTTGAATGTGGTGTGTCACTTATTCATATGTATCCGATTGCGAACCAGTTATTTGCATCTATCCGACTATCCAATATGGTATATGGCTGGATACAAATATGTAGTTAAATGACACATATCGTTGTTAACACAAGAAAACCACGTAACTCCACTTTATGTACAAATTCAGATTTTGCTGCCGTGTATTAGACAACCATAGAATCTATTGGCTGTGAGCGTGCTAAGGGTCATTATAGATTTCTAGGTAAGAAATGCTCATGCAAGAATATCGCCTATCTCCCTGGCAAGTTTATTTAACAAGAAAAACGTGTAAGTCCAGAATTTGCCGCGCATTTACATAACCTAAATGTGTGTGCCGTTTTGACGTGGGTATTCAGCGGAAATTCGTCAGGTAATTAATTGAGATTTTATTTGATATGATGTAAATTTGACACACTTATAATAGGTCAAAGAATTTCAATGAAATTTCAGATATGATTCTATTTTTTTACATTCAATTATTACTATTGGAGTTACTTGCTCTTCGCTGTAAAATACAGACTGCGTACTTTGGAGTTACGCGCTTTACCAAAGTAGTATTTGGTAACCAACAATTTCTCGTTATTCTCGTCATTTGCCGAATCAATGTACTATTTTCTGGCTTTTTCCACTATTGATCGATCATACAAAATTACTGCGCGGATCTAATAATAATGAGCAGATAAAAATAAATACCATTTTACTGGGTGTCTCATACTACAATCATTGCAGCAAAATGTATAGGGGTAAATTAATGATGCAATTGGCAAACATACAACAAAATCAAGAGAGGCGGGATCAAGAGATTCGAGCAGATGATTCCAATAAAATATTGGAAATTGTTGAACAAGACGATGTTCCATCAGATTTTGAAGATGTCAATATCATTCTAAAGAATAGCCAAAATAATGATGACATCGCTTCGACTGAAGTGAATGACGAAACTGGAATACTTCAACCTACAGCTAACGATAGTTTTTCCAAAGTGGAGAAAAATGCACCAACTTTAAACGAATTTCATTCTTTGCCAGACAAGGAAAATGTACTTCCCGAACATAATTTTCGAATATTAGGTAAGTACCATAAGTGCTCTCATATTCTGTTTATTTCAAGATGGATAATTATTTTAGACATTGATACCAGTGACACGTTCGGTGCTGTTTACCTTGCAGGCAGCAGTAGCGAATCTACAGAGAGTCATAAACCCAATAGCAGTGAGGTCAGCTCAGACTTCAGTGAATTAGACGAAGTGAGAAGGAATTCACTACAGGATATTGAAATTGTCAATTTGCCTGAAGATCAATCAAATGCTATTAGAAAAAAGAGACTGAAGAAAAGAAAACGTGGCCCTGAAGAATGGCAGGCTGGTAAACAAAAGATGAAAAGAGAGAAAGGCGAAAATTATTTCGGATGAAAGAAGATAGATGAAAAGTGGTATTATAATATAAGTAAACAAGGCCGATCTATTAAAGAACGCTGTTCCTGTAAGCCTTCCAGTAAAAATCAGCAGCTCAAATGTTCCACAATTTCTGATGAGCAAAGGAAAAATATGATTACAACATTCTGGTCGTCGTGGAACTGGTCGGAAAAAAGAATGTTTGTTAAGATGATGGTAGATTTCATAGAGCCCATGCTCAAGAGAGACAGAAAAATCGAAAACAAATCTCGTAGATCTAAAAGCGTGAAGTATTATTTGAATGCCAATGAAAAAAAATGTTTTTAGCAACTCTGGATATCAAGGAAAGTTTTGTCATGAATTGCAAAACAGATGCCACAGTAAATATTGCATCTCAACAATGCTTAGATCACCAGCAAAGTTCTTCCAAGTCCAAGCTCTGTAAAAATCAGCTTGGCAATCTTTATAGCTTTTTTGACGCACTTTCTAAAATGGAGTCGCATTACTGCAGGCAATCCTCTATCAAACTATATCTGGAGCCAATCTGGCAAACTGAATCTAGCCTGTATAATGTTTATAAAAATGAGTGGTGTGTGCAAAAGGAGACTGACAGTGTCCCATTGTTTTCCTTTCTAAACGCACTTGCGGAAAAAAATTATCTTTGTATAGGCCAAAAAAAGATCTGTGTGAAATCTGTGTTTCATTCAAAACTAAAAATATTGATGAAAGCACGTATAAACAGCATCAATTGAAAAAACAGCAAGCAAGGGATGAGAAAATCAAAGATAAAGAAAAAGGAATTGTCTCTGCTTACTATGGATTTGCAGTCCGTTCTGTTATGCCCCAAATCGAACGTTTCAACGCTTTATTATAAACAAACGCTAGCTGTACACAATTTTACATTTTACAACTTACACACTAAACAAGGAATCTGCTTTCTTTGGGATGAATTGGAAGGCAATCTAAGTGGAGCAGAATTTGCAAGTATTATTGTATATTTGTTAGAGAAAATACTTAGAGATAGGGAGGCTGGTGATTTAAGAGACATAATTTTGTTCAGTGATGGGTGCACTTATCAAAACAGGAATGTGATTTTGGCTAATGCTATTATTAACTTTTGTTCTATAAAAAACATTACAGTGATTCAAAAGTATTTGGAAAAAGGGCACACACAGATGGAAGCCGACATGATGAACAGTGCCACTGAGAGGCAGTTAAGAGGATGTGAGATTAACGTTCCTGGCGATTACGTACAGCTGATAAAAAATGCTCGTAAAATTGATCCATTTTCGGTTGAACGAGTCACTCACGATTTTTTTAAAGATTACAATAGCTTAAAGTTCGTGAACAGTATCCGCCCTGGCAGAGCTAAAGGTGACGCAGTTGTCACTGACATCAGGGTATTCAAATATTCACCCACAGGCATTGAATATAAGCTTAACTTTAATGATGCCAAATCGAATGAACAAGAATGTTCAGCTTAAACATTTTGCTGAATTACCCAGACTTCATAGAGAACGTACCAAGATTAAAAAAGAGAAGTATGACCATTTGCAGTTTATTAAAAAAACAATGGACAAAGACTACCATTCTTTTTATGATAGCCTTCCTTATCAATTAGCATCACATAACTAGATCTGCTCAAAGGTGAAGTTGACTACTACATCTTTAATACACTTATTACACTTTAAGACTTTATTTGTACGAACTGCTTTTTTATTTATTATAAATAAAACTTTGAAATAAGATCAGTAATATTAATACACCAGATTCATGTAAAAAAGCATGTAACTCCATCTTTATATTGCGTTTAAAATGGGAAACACACGTAACTCCTAATTTTACCTTTTTCCATCTTTGTTTTGAAAATTTTAGGCTTCTTTAAGAATCATTCAGAAACTGCTCAACTAAACTATAATATTGCATTTATCGCACTAATGCTATTATTCCTAAAACAATATAATACATAACTCAATTTGTTTTTACGCTTTCCTCTAAAATTCTGAAAAATGGAGTTACAATTTTTTCTTGTACCGTCGACGATATAATTTGTGTTCTTGGCTAAAAAAATGAAAATAGGCATAATAAACCAATCATATTTAGAATCGGAAAAAAGCAACTATCGTTTTGACCAAGATATACAGGGTGTTCTGCTTTAATAAATATAACGTCTTTTTATACCACTTTTCTGGGATATCATGTATGTAAAATGGACATTGCCTAAAACATTTCATATTTCATTTCTCAAGGTCAAGCAAAAAGTTAAGAGTGAGGTCACGAACGTTATTCATTTCCGTTGTTTGTCTGTCTGGTTGTCTGAGGGTCTGTCTCTCTCCGCTAGCCTTTGCCTTCCATAACTTGGAAAATACCACTGAGATTTTGCTGAAATTTTGAAACAAGGTTTGCTTACCCCAAGGACGAAAAAGCTCTGTTCTTTTGTTTATTCTGAAGATCGGTGCAGTGGTGGCGGAGCTACGGACGGAAAAATTAAAAATCGACCAAACTTCGTATTTTTGGCGTTTCAGAGGTTCGTGATCATTGAAGATGATTTTTAGAAAGTATGTTTGTAGTGGTTAAAAATTGAGGTGATGGGTTATAGGGGTGGAGGAGGGTATATGTCGATTTTTCAATTCAATTATTTCACACGTACAATTGCCCTTAAAACTTGAATGATACAATTAGAAAAAAATGTTCAACCCACCCGTCCCACGTAGGACAACATACACCTGTGTTAGTGTTTGACCACTGACTGGCTAGTGAGGATTAGTCATAACAACGTACTGTCGGTAGGGAATGGGATAAATTTCTAGGTCGCAAGGTTGTTGAATTGGTGGAACTGTTAGCTAATTGTTTGACTTGATCCATTTAATTTTTTGTTATACATGTTTGTAGCTAATTTTCTTCTCAAAGGGCCAGCTCGTGCCAAATATAGCCTTTCATACGCTGATGGCAGTGTTGCGTAGGAAGTGCTGCTTGACACCATTTTTTTTTTACCTGAGAACAATCCCACTGAAGTCGGAACAACTGCCTTATGCCCTTATAACTGAATGCTTCAACATTGAACTGAACCATATGGGTCTCTACGTTTATGGATTGGTTATTGTTGCGTCAAACATGGAACGATCATGATTGACGAGCTTAACGTGGAGATCATGCTTATGAGATACAGAATCATCGTATTGGTTATCCAAACGTCGTGATTATAGTAACCGTCTTACTTGAATAGTCAATACTACGCCTTTGGTGGAATTTATGTGTGTGTAATTTATGGAGTTTGGAGCAGCTGAGCTCTGCAGAGCTTGTCTCTTTTTACAAAAGAACCACAAAAAAGAGCAAAGTATTATAAATGTATATGTAGACTAGCGCAATCAGAGCATGCTAACGCAGGGCCATTTATTGTAGACAATTGAACAGCTGTATAGTCGTTAGTTCATCGTTTCCGACAGAGGCAGTTATTTATTAAGTGAAGTTTGTAGCACTCGGTTTTCATGTAGCAATTTGTTTAACGCATTTGTTATTCTTACTTAAATCCTAGCGCTACTAAGAAAACAAAAGTAATGATTATAGATTATAGATACTGTTCTTTTCAAAAAGGCACCGCCTACCAATTTTTCAACAGTTGAAGTTACTACTCTAGGACCCTGTTTAGTGCGGTAGGTTACAGATAGCCATTGTATTTTTGAGTCGGTATCTTGTGTTGTCAAATTGTAGGTTAGGTATGTTGTCGGTTAGTCGTCAGATATACCATATTTTACGAGTATCCATTACCGTAGAATGACAGCTGGTTATCTAGTAGGTAATATTTCAAAATTCCCCATATCCGCAAAGGACACATAATTCTGACGGATTCGTTAATCCCAGGTAGACAGAGCCATATTTTATTTTTGTTTTTTGTACGCTACAGTTTCATTTTGTACTTGCTAAAAGCTCTTTTATTTATAAAAGTTCATTTGCATAGAAAAAACTAAACGCTACAAACAATTTTTTGCTAGACTTACACCCGATTCAATATAGCCAGTGTTTTTAGACTAACACAGAAATGTCACTAGCTGATCAGCTGTTCATCTCAGTAGACGGCAAAGCGTGATGGGTACTCGTGAAATAGGGTGTAGCACGTTGGGGGCGAATTTATAAGAAAACGAAATATAACTTGTTAATATATTGATAGATAGGGTTCCACGTGTAAGCCAATTTTATTTTTTGTACAGATCTCCACAGGATATGTGGTGATAGCCAGCGCGAAAACGAGGCCTACCAGCGACACGTCCATTTCTCACAAATGCTACTCACCGACCATTTCCAAGCATCCCAGACGACAGAACATAACCTGATCATGTGGACCCAAGGACCCCTGCCTCCAGATAACACCTCAGCAGTGGTGCATGCACAACCAGGCCCTTCAGCAATTTTATAGCAATAGCCTTTTCGCATAGATAAAGCAAAAAATGTAAATTATTTTTTTATATATTGTACGGTATTGAGTAAAGCGTGGATTTTATAGTATAACGTGCTTTTTATTTGGGGTTATGGGCTTACACCTATCGCGCAACAAGCAAAGAGAGAAATATGAAGGATCTTACTAATTACTTTCAGGTATCTTAGGATCCTTAATATAACCTCGTCGTTTAGACCCATGGTAATCTATTTGGGGTTATGGTCTCAGATATGGCGAACAGCAACGCAGAATAAAAGGCGTGAAGATAATATTTCTGTTAAACGCTGCTTATCGATCATTTCTAGGCGCACCATACGCTCAAACATAACCTCATCATCTGAATCCAAGGGCTTCTACTTTTAGATAACTCCTCAGTAGTGGTACATCGACAAGCTGGACCTTGAGCATTGTTATAACAGCAGACTACTAGCAGAGCGAGAAATATACATTATTTTCTTGTATTCTGTACGGTAGTGAGTGAAGGGAGTGGGCTTTAGTAGAGTGTTTTATTTGGGGTTATGGGCCCAGTGAAGCATCACGAATTTTAACAAGCAGAGAAATACGTAGAGAGGACAACATGCATTACTGTTGATGGAAATATTGAAATGGCTAAATTTCATATCGTGTGTTTCTGTTGCAATTAATTTAGAGCGACAATGACAATGACTCATCATTCCTTCTTATTCTCCAAAAATTTACCATTCATTCAGGGTTACGGGCCTAGCGGAATATCGGGTAGCATGCATAAAAGAAAAAAGACATAGTATTTACTACTATATTGACGCCTAAGATATACTGTTAGGTGCAAATATCTCATACCGCCAATTTACTCACTACCAGTGTACCTAGATAATTCTTTTATCTTTAAAGAACCAATGTCTTCACGTAGCTCTAACTTTTCCGTTACTCAAAATCATCTCCTTCATGGCCTTCCTCTTCACCTTTCCGGTGGCTGTTCTGATCAGCTCATCAACAATCTTAACTCCAGCTCTCAGTTTTTGGGCATCACCTAGCCTCTCGTCTGCATATTTCTTTATGTCTTCTGGCGATACGTTCTCGTGTCCTTCTTTCAATATTACGAGAGTCATTGCATGCTCTCCATCTTCAGGATGAGGAATTCCTGAAAAAAACTTTTGGTCGATATCGATGTTTCCAAATCAAATTATGGGAGAATTATAAAATTTCCAGGTAAGCCTCTTTATGACTATTCCCTTCTCATTGGTCATTGATGCCACTGCAGAAATGCAAGAACTTTCGTTGTTTTCTTTAAGGGCATGCTTTTGAACTTTTATGTTTGGTTAAAAGACCTTGTAGAAAGGTGTTGGGAGGTGCCATGCTGATCGGGACCATGATTCTTACAAGGCAAGTTGATTTTCATTTGTTTATGCTGGAATAGATCTGGCAGTAGTTATTTGAGATTTCAGAAAACTTAAAGGGCAGGTAGGTTTTCAAGGGCACAGTTTATATCTTATTTTTAATGCATTTGGAAATCTACAAAGACAAAGATTATCGACTGAATGCGAAGGTTACGTATTCAAAGGATTCATTTTGTACGGTTTGCCAAGAGTCCATGTGCATTCGAAGACCTTTGTTACAAAACTTTTTTGGAAAGTGTCTAGATTTGCCGATAAAAACGACATATTAAATTAAGTATTCTAGATTTTTTAAGTGGGATACGTACTTGTATTAGGAGGCCATAAAGGCGTCCTACAATTGTAGGAATGACTGACGATACTTCCCTTAGTTACCAAAACAAGATGGGCAGTTCGTTATTCATACTGCATGTACACAAATCTGGGGACCTTTATAAAATAGCTCATTCTGTTATTGATAGGTACCATCCTCGGATTATTGTGGACGGTAGATTAACGCATCAGCTGTTAGCAACGTCGCAAGAGGCGAGCGCAGGTCTAGCGTTAGACGAAGTAGCAAGTATCCGCAAAAGAGATTTGCTCACGTTTTTAAAACCCAATAAAGTGTCGGCTATGGTTATCTCATCAAAAAGTGCATGAAAGTTACGAGGATTTCTCTGAAAATCTTGCAATGATTAATAGGTATTACTGTAGAGTAAATCTGGTGTCCAAACTCTAGGTATATGTGTTTTTTTGACTTGCTCGCCATGATATTGAAGTTTGCTTATCATTCGAAAAAGTTTACTCAAACGATTCGATATGTCGGAAGCAGACCAAAATAAGAAAGCTCAAACTAATAGTCAATAAAACACAATAAGCTGAAGCTACGTTCACATTAGTCCACCTTTCCTTTTCCTTCCATCTTCAAAATCAACATGCTCTTAATTTGGCTTTGTAAAGGTTAGAATCAAAAACAATGAAACAACCTCGGCTTTTCCGAGCCCTTGAAAAACTACCTGTGCTATTGCGTTTTCTGACTTGTCGAGCAACTCGTCCCAGATCGATAAATATATGAAAATCATCTTGCCTTAAAACTGACCTTGTAAGGATCATGGTCACGATCAAAACGACACCTCCCAACACCTTTCTACAAGATACTTTAACGAAATATTTATTTTAGTATACTCATCGTTCCAGTTTTTGATCTGAGAGCAGCTACAAGCTACGATCGACACACCCACCATTGATGCAAATCAGGCAAACTTTATCCGCCTATTTCTCAGGAACTAATCAAAGGATTGCTTTGGTTCCATGGACACTTTGGTTCGGGAAGGCAAGAAATATACCATGCTGAATTTTAAGACTGTGACTCATTTTCTATATGTTTTGTACCTCGTCCATTACATTGTGCCTAGACATGATCGAAAGTCGGTGCACACCGGTAATTTGAAATGCTAGTTTCAAATATGGTCGTCAAGAGATCTCAATAGTGTCACCAAATCCTATGGAGGGTCGAAAAATGGGGTTATCTGACGTCCTGTCAATCTTAGCAAAAGACTGACGTACTAGGATAATTTGGACGCTAATCTTGAATATGCTACTGTATCACGAATCCCAATTTCAACTGAAAAAATTAGTTTCTTGAGACGTGTCCTCAATATCAGCAAGAAAGTGTTTATTATGATTTTGAGATATTTTCTTCTATCACCATAATCGCCCACTTAGAGACTGAATAGCGGTTGTCAGTTGAACCTGTAAGAATCTCAATTCACATTTGATAGCTGGGCCTTCACTCTGGTCGCGAGATGCTGTCGATTATGACGGTATAGTAGATGTAGTATACTAGCCATTGAATAACTAAACATACTGCGGCCAACTTTTTGAATAAGATTTTGCAAAAAAAACGAATGGATCCTTTTTCCGAGAAGATGTGAAGATACTTCCTGGACAAATAGGGATTTCCTACGTCTTTACCTATGACAGCTGCCTCCTTAACAGCTGGATGCGCCATAACGACTTCTTCTACAATAGCAGGGAGTACATGCCATCCTCTGTACTTAAACATTTCCTTAATTCTGTCGTCAATGTACAAGCAGTTATCTTCGTCAACAAAAGCAACATCTCCTGTTCTCAGGTACCCTTCGGAATCGAAGGCATCAGAAGAGTCCATTTTGTAGTAACCGTTCATGTGAAGGTCAGTCTTTAGGCGCAGTTCACCTTTTTTGTACGGACCAGTGACTGGTTTTTCGGTTTCCAAGTCGACTATCTGAAAAAACATGTATTTGTTCAAACCATGTTTAGAGACAGTTATGATTATGGTTGGTTAGAATTCATGGAGCCAAATATTAGTACTCTAAACATTTCCACTGATTCTAGCAGTAGATTCTAGTAATCCGTCACCAAAAGCTGTTAATGTGTTGAACGCGGTTACTGGCTTACGAAAGCATTTTTATTCTTAGATGTAAAGAATTCCTTGCATAAGTACATTTAGGAAAATTGCAAACAACCCGATTGTAGTAACCGAAAATAATGAAGATTTAATTGCGCAATAAAGACATTTTGACTTTATACAATTTTAGCATATCTACTCGGTGTATCACTCGTCTCTCAATTGTTACTTGTATTGCTAAGTCGGATCTAACTACGGCTCATATGCCAAAATACAGTATGTATCAGATACGCTTCTCTATACAGGGATCCCGGCTCCTGTTATACCTACAGCAAAGGTTGAATGGGAAAAGTTTAGGGGAAACTTAGTGCTTTCCATAGCCGGGTTCAGATTTACGATCGGTCAATTGGTTTTTGAAAATATCAGCGAAAAACCTGAAACGGCGGAATTTGTTTTTTACCAGTAAATCCAAAAAGGGTTAATTTGACAGCTGTCAAAATGTGACATTACCCTTACATTCTTTTAAGAAAAATAAGACAGCATGTATGTAACATGTCTCAATCGTCTTTTGTTTTCCAGCAACCCGCCTCAACATTCATTATTCTTATGGCCGCCATATTGGCTTTTTGATTTTTTAAAGGAGTGTAAAATTTCCAGTTTAGTGTCTCTTTAATTCTCTGAATTATTCAACGTCAAAGTCCTTAGATCAACAAAATGCGTTGCTATTTTCTGTCAAATAAATCATCCTTAAAAAAATAATACATAACATTACGTGTGATGATATGGTATTTCGATGATACTCCAGTCTTTCATGCACCTGTGAAACATCACTAGGCTGGAAATTTTACGCTAAGAAAACTAAAAGTTGAGGCAGGTTGCGGTAAAACGAAAGGCGATTGAGACATGTCATACACGCTTATTTGCCTTAGAAAATGTCCGAATACTGTCACATTTTGACAGCTGTCTTATTAACCGTTTCGGATTTACTGGAAAAAAACAAAATTCGACTTCTCGTCGTTTTTTTTAATCTAATTGACCGATCCTAAATCTGAAGCCGGCTATGGAATGCACTAAGTTTCTTCTAAAACTCTCCCCATTCAATCTTTGCTGTAGGTACAACATGATCCAAAATAACCTTACTACCAGTTTACCCGGTTTCATATAACACCTTTTTTTAAACCGCTACTAATCATTGATGAAAATGAATTATACAGATTCTGTTTCACCAAAATTTCATAAGTTCAATTTCGGTTGAACGTATTACTGCACATGCAGTGCTTTTCAAAAGGGTCATCCCTACTTATTTTTTGAAGGGTTAGGTAACCAAGCC